ACATTTAAAGTTATTTTGAAAATAAGTAACAAATAACAAAGAAAAATTAAAATTCCGTACAAAAGGAATTTTTTATTATTTTTCGTTAAGATATTAAGTGCTGTTTTCCTTTACAGGACATGTACTAGTCTACCGTGTATTAATGAGAAGGATGCCGAAAACATATCAATTTGTGAATCTTCAAATCTATCGGAGCCAGAACCAACATACAGTAACGTATCCAATTCACCTATGTTATCAAGTAGATCAGGAGAAAATGGCGATTTTACTTCAAGTAGAAGTATAATATATCTTTTATTAGTATTCTATTTATATTATATCTTATATTAGTTTGCTAGAAATTTTATGAAATTTAATTCATGGTGACTTCAAATTTACTTCGTAACTTTTATGAAAATCAATGATATTTCAGAAAGAAAGTACGACAAATTGAATAAATCAAATGAAGATTTTCATGAAGCTGTTATGAATGCATTACGGGAGACCAAACAACCTGATGGAGTAGACGGATTTCTTCTCGTACTAGGCGAAGGATTGAGAAAACTCCCTTACCTTGAAAGAAGCAAACTACAAATGACATTTTTTGCTATGGTTATAAAAGAACAAGAGAAATTTAATAATTCTACTACAAAATAAGATTTTATATATCCCTATTTATGTTTTGTCCAATACCCAGTGAGAAATGATTCGTCGATCGATGTCGAAAAATAAGTTTGATATATTTCTATTTTTTGTTTTATGTATCTCTATTTTTGTTTTATGTTAATAAATTATGTCAAAACGATGTCGAATCGACATCGACACCGTCAAATTGACGTCGACTCGACATCGTTTTGACATCGATCGATGAATCATTTCTCACTGTATAAAAGAAGTTTGATATATTTCTATTTTTTGTTTTATGTATCTCTATTTTTGTTTTATATATATATATATATTTATGTATTGTTACACACACGCACACAACCTTACGAATAAATTACTTAAAGGTCATATTTGTATATAATTACTGTTTTACAATCTTCTATATTTATTTTCTACTAATTATAACATTTTTCGCAAAAGTTAATAAATTAAAAATCGTTTTGCAACGCTTTTTCCCACTGGTAATATAATGCACCGGTATTTTGAAAATACGTTGAATACGCCTCTCTAACCATAATAGCATTATTATTGCTTCGGCCACCACAATGTGATATATCGCGAACTCCACAACTTGTACTCGCATCTTCTATAGTTAGATGTAAATATGATTTTTTTCCAGTTAATTGCTCTTCGTTTTTGATGATAAAATTGTGCAGTGTTACAGTTGCTTGTATAATTTTGCGTACATTGCTGATATTGGCGATGATAGGCCTTCGGTATATTCTCCATCGAGCTACTAATATACCGAAAGCATTCTCCACAACTCTTCTTGCGCGACTAAGTCTATAATTGAAAACTTTTTTCCCAATATCGAGTTTTCCACTTCGCGGATATGGTCTCATCATGTACATCGATAATGGAAAAGCTTCATCTGCTACTAGTACAAACGGTAATTCTGGTCCACCAACTTCGATCTGTTTCGGATTTGGTAGTTTGAACAAATTAGCTTCAAAACGTTTCCCAATTTCGCTATTTCGGAAGACTCCTCCATCACTTTGCCTACCTTCGGCACCAATATCAACTATTGTAAAGCAATATTTTGCATCGCTGATTCCGAGTAGATTAATGCTGTGATGGCCTTTGTAGTTGTAATAAGTTGATCCGCTATTTGGTGGAGCCTGCAACAAGAATACAAAATATCTTTTTAATTCCAATAATTTGTATTGTTATATATTGAATATACGAGTAAAACGAATATTTTTAATGCATTGAAAACATTTAACAAAACCTTTCATCTCTTATTAAAGTTACATTTTAACATTATATAAATTCTTTTTAATTTTGTTTGAAATATATATACCTGTATTTGAACATGCTTTCCATCAATAGCTCCTATACAGTTTGGAAAGTTCCACAATTGTTGAAATTCGTCAGCTACAGATTTCCAACTCTCTTCATTGTCCTTAAGAAAGACTACATCTTTTAGACAATTCCAAATAGCTTCACAAGTCTCAGATATTATTTTTGAGATTGTGTTGTGAGCAACTCTGAAGGCATATGACAGGGATTTCATACTATCCCCTGATGCTAAATAGCGCAATGTAATTTGGAGCCTAGTGTCAGGCGAAATAGGTTCACGAATAGCATCCTGCTTAATAATGACCGGTCTGACCAATGTCAATAATGCTTCATATATTTCCGGTGCAATTCTAAAATAATCTACATATTTTTCTGCATCTTCAGTAAGCATTTCCTTTACAAGATTTTCACTTGCACCTTGTTGTAATCTTCTTTCAATGCTAAATATGGGTCGCACCCAATACTTTCGTCTATTTTTATTATTTTCCTTTATTTGAATAATTCTGTACAATGCATATAACTTTGCAATCTTGCGGCGTATGTCTT